TTGCATTTCTCGACGTTTTGAAGGTTTCTGAACATTTTGACATACCTCAGAAAAAATGGATGTGTGTGTGTATAGATATGCTGATTAGTTCTTGGGAAAGGCAGGCCCAGTAGTTACGGAGATAAAGAGCAAAGAGTGCAGAAAATAGAAATCGAGTTTTTGAGAGAACAGAGCATCCGATTTGAATGACCTAAAAACAATCAATTTGTAATGATTGGGAGAAGAGATGATTAGTTTTTGGCGAAGGCAGGCCTAGCCATTTCGAAGATACAGAGCTAAATGTGCAAAAAATGACAGTTTTTGAGAGAACTAAGCGTCCAATTTAAATGATTCAAAGAATTTTCTGCTTATATTAACAAAAAAATAATTCGGATTTTAATTTTAATTCTGACCTAAAGTTCTAATATATTTTAAACAAATAATTGCAATTCAGTTTATATAATTCCTATAAATGTTAGACAATGTTACAATATTAATAATATTCTATTTGAAAACATTAAGTACTCCTAGAACAATTCGTTACGGTACGAGAAGTTCCTGCAATTTGCCTTAAGGCACGGTGCCATGTACCGCACTTGTTTTTTTTGTCATTAATAACTGAATGGTTGTTGCCATTTTGTGAGCTTTTATGCGAATCAAACATTTTTTTTTTTAAAGATTTGAACAGATGTGCTAGAATTATAAACGTCAATTTGTAGCTAGTAATTTTCTCCATTTAAATATATTTCAATAAAAAAAAAAATTATTATATTAAGTAATTAATTATCAATTCCCATGTATTTTCTATCAAATGATCCCTAGACGAGCAAACATAGAGCGCGAGTGTTTGACCTGAAACGCGGTCAGCCTCGTTCAAGATTTCGCTTTCAATAGAAAGTGCATTTGTTCGCTGCACTCGGAGCCACTTTTGCCGGCTGGCTGCCCTCGTACCTTACCGGGTACAATAATATTATATATTACGTCGATTATGCTGATTGATTGAGGAAAAATCGTTTTTATGAGATTCTATTGATTCTGTGATTGGTACTTTCACGTGATTGTTACGACTCGTAGTAAAAGTCTTAGATGCTGTGAAGTCGTTTGGAATTGTCATTTGGTGGTGTATGTTATTTGAATCTTCTACAGAAGTGATTCCCAAACATTTTGACCAACACCCTCATTTCCAGAAAAAATATTACTCTATATATTATTCTCGAATTTGTGAGTGGAAAGGGTTAAACCTCTATTCAAAAACAATATTGACCTAGAATAAATAAACAATATTACGTAATAATAATATAACGATATTGCTATACTAAGCAATAATCACAGTGCTTCCCGACAAACACAAGAAGAATAAGCTACAAATGTGGCTTGCCAAATGGAAGATTTGCATAAATGAAACCAAATCAGTTCATATCACATTTACCCCGAGAGAGGGTTCCAAAACGGACCGTAAAATATCTTGGTCTCCATTTAGACAGCAGACGTACTTGGAAAAACCACATAAAAACAAAAAAGCAGCAAATAATGATCAAAATGAAAGAATTTGATTGGCTACTGCGTAAAAGGTCTAAGCTCTCTGTTGAAAATAAGTTGCTGCTATATAAATCAATCATTAAACCAATCTGGACCTACGGAATTGAGCTCTGGGGACGTGCTTACAAATTAAGTATAGCTATAATGCAGAGAACTCAGTCAAAAATTTTACGTACAATATACTTAATTCTTCGTGGTACGTTACAAATGAAACCATTCACAGTGATCTCAACATGAAAACGGTGCAAAACTAAAATTTTACAACTAATATCGAATTTACGTACTGACTAAACTTTTAAAAATAACATCAATATAATTATCGTGATTTCATGAAGTAGAATTTATTAGAGTATAATTCAGTAATCAGGCAGATGATTGAAATGTTAAATAAATAGTTAAATAGAAATTAATACACTGGGTTAATGATGATGTAAATTATAAAATCATCATTGCCAGATCAAACCAAAATATATTATACGTTTGCTATTGATTTTTATACATTAGTTTTTTACTATTACTTTTGTACTAAATTCCTTTGTTAAATTTTAGAATATTATAAACATTCTCAGATAAATTTGAATATTGAGTAATAATGATTTTGAGTACTAAAGAGTAACAAAGTTATAAAATGAGATTGTTTTTTATCAATTAATTTTTAATAATTACTAAACAATGTATAATTTTATTGTGTATATTACCAACTTTAAATTTAAATTCCTCACAGGCATTCCAATCGAATATTGCAACATATCATTTAATCATTTTACCATATTACTCAATAACAAATTAATGCTATAGTAATGAAATTAATTTAATTTAATTAAATTCATCAAATTTAATTATCACAGAGACTTTTTATTTTATAGGATTAAATACCAAATGTCTACATTTATAATCTCGATCTACTTATTCTTTACCCTTGGGGTTTTGTCGACTTCTTCAATTTACAGTTTTAGTCGAACATCGTGGCAGGAATAAATAAATCTTGCCAAGACATAGGAATCTTATATAGACTGTTCAATTAACGAGATAAATGATTAAAGATAGAATTCCTCTACGTCTTAGGTTTTAAATAGGACGTCTTGTTAGTCACTTTGATGACAAAAATAGTGGTAAAAGTGGGAGAGCCACAATAAATAATTATTACAATATTACAATACTATCATATATGATATATCACATAAAAAATTTAACAAAAATAATGCAACGTCTTTGTGTAAATGAAATTCTATAAAATAAAATTATAAGTTTTTTCTTATTTTTCCACTGACGATCACAATCTTTTACTACTTAATTTTCTCCTTTTAAAATTTCAATTCCACTTTAAAAATTAATTAAATATACACGCAGTATCAACAAGAATTATGTAAAAAGTGGTAGCCTACTACTCCTACTAGTAACTAAAAATTTAATTAAATTTTATGCAAATAAATGAACAAAAACATATGTTGTTGTGGACGTCATTATTTTGGTTTAACGATTATATGAGAATATGAATACATATGGGGGTTGGTTTTTATTTTTATATACGTTTTTTAACTCATAATTAAAACAAAACAGACATGGAACAAAATTATACACGTTCATTATAATGTGGACAGATATAAAAGAATTATTTATGAATATATTTTATGTTTCAATATGTACGTGATTATATCATATTCATGTATTCAAATCAAAGTTATATAATTTCATTCTTTGAATTTTATTTTTACATATTAAATACAGAAAACGATTAAATTAATGGGTCACTTTAATTAGTGTATAATAGAGAAACATATTGAATAAATAATGAATTATAATAAAAATAACTTATTTAAAAAATCATTATGTAAGTTTGTCATCTTCAATACTTCAATAAAATATATATTTCTGCATATTGCGTGAGAATGTTATCTATTCTTTTGATTTTTTTTTTAAATTAGCGAACTACTTCTTGATAGTTAATTTATTACTTATTGATTTATTAAATACTAATTATTAATTAAATTACTAATTATTTAATTACTTATTAATTTAACTAAACATAATATACTTTTATATGATTCTGTGTTTTGCCTAATAATTTTATATATTAAACTAAATAATAAATATTAGTAAATACAAGTATATACAATGATAAAAAATAATTACTTGCTTCGTGAATTATTTTACTTTAGATGGAATATCAATATTATTAAATTCAAAAATTTTGTACTTAAGTTGTCACAATGCACCAAAAAATGCACTTATAGAATAATATACAATATAAAAATTACAAAAAATGTTCTAAATTAAAAATAATTAGTTCCAAAATAATGAATGAATATCATACTTTTTTTCTTATAGTTTATTATTGAAACAAAGAATACTCTTAAAGTTGTACTTATATTTTTCAGATTGTCTAATCAAAATTATTGTCTAATAAAAAAAATTAAAACAGTTTTAGAGGTTTGGGGTTGGTATAAGAGGCATCATTAAATATTAAAATTTATACCGTAATTATCAACTTCCCGTAGGGCAACTTATAGTAATGGCAAAAAAAATCGAAAGTGAAAATTTTTATATATCTTTACTTTCAAAACCTCCTGAACAATTTGGCATACCTTAGAAAAAATCGATGTATGTGTGTGTGTGCGGACGCAAATTTTCGTCGACGATTTCGGGAACACCGATCACGGATTTGAATAATTCAAAAAACGTTCGATTCGTATTGATAAGGAGACGTGCTGATTAGTTATTGGCGAAGGCAGGTCTAGCCGTTCCGAAAATACGGGGCAAAGAGTGCCAAAAATGGTAACTCAGTTTTTAAGAGAACGGAGCGTCCGATTTCAATAATTCAAAAACATTTTACAATATTTATTAAACTGTGATATAATTGATTTGACATATGAAGATAAATTAACATATTTATGGAAATGACTTGAAGTAAATAATATAGTTGTAAAATAAAAATAAATTGAGAAAAGTGGATTTAAAATAATAACAACATTTTGGTTTTGAATTTTTTACCACAAACATTCAATAATATAGTTGTAAAATAGTAATAAATTGAGAAAAGTGGATTTAAAATATTAACAACATTTTTGTTTTGAATTTTTTACCACAAACATTCTTTACCACAAATATTTGTCGCAAATTATAAGTAATTAACAATATTGAAAATATTGAAAAGAAAAATACTTTATTTAGAAAACGCACGTTGTTTTAAAAATATTGTATTTGGGTAAAAATTATATTTTATCCCACTTGTCAGAAAACTACCAGGGCAAACTTGAAAAAAAATTTTTTTTTTATTTATTTATTTATGGCTTTTAATCTAAAAAAAGTTAATTTTCAAAATCTGACAATTTATTTTTGATGTTTGTTTTTTTACTTATTTTCATTTCAGGATAGGTGTCAAAATTACCATATGGTGAAAAAAATTCTTATATTTTAAGTCATGTTCAAATTTTTTTTATTAAAATTTTAACAGTGATTATAATTATAATTTTTGTACTCACGTTGATCATCATCACAAAACACAGCAGCTGCAACAGCAACAAGAACCACTATTTGTTTAATCATTTTGTAAATTTTATACTAAAAGTCTTTCTATTCTTTGAACTTCACTCAATCTTAACCAGATGATTTAAATTTAAATACTCTATATATTTCTCTATCAATAAATCATAGATTCGTCTATATTAGAAATGTAAATGATAACAAAACCGATCGACCTGCGTCTCGAGATAGTTTCAGGTGTACGTGAGAGATTCAATGAGTAAGGTGCACCCCACTTTGCGCTTTTATATCGCTGACAATCGCGTTAAACGGCAACGGCAATTACTTCATACGGGCCAGGTCTTTGGTGTTTTGCCGGACTACGATGCTCTAGGTTTGGGGAAAAACGTCAGAGAAATTTTTATTATTGTCTAATAGTCAGATAAACAGATTTTGTAGAGGTTGTAGGTTGTTTAGACAAATGCGGGTCACAAAACTCGATTTTTTTTTTAACAAACCCTATAGAATAACTCCTGAGGTGGATAAAAATGCAAATAGTAAACTGAAGTTATACTTACAATTATATAGCTGTTTTAGCAATATCTTAGGAATATTGTATATTATTTAATTAAATTATTGTTGTCTAATAGTCAGATAAACAGTTTTTGTAGAGGTTATAGGTTGTTTAGACAAATGCGGGTCACAGAACTCTAATTTTTTTTTTTAATAAACCCTACAGAATCCTGAGGGGGATAAAAATGCAATTAGTGAACTAAAGTTATACCTGCAATTATATAGCTGTTTTAGCGATATCTCAGGAATGTTGTATATTAATTAATGACGTTATAGTTGGGCATTGGTACTCATAGAACAATAATAGTACTTCATTGAATTCATTTTTGTGATGTAAGAAAAGTTCACTAATTGATTTGTTTTTAACTTCCCGTAAGGTAAGTTATAGTAATCGCAAAAAATCGAAAATATTTTTTTTATATATCTTTACGTTTCAGAGGTTTCTGAATATTTTGGCATACTTTAGAAAAAATGGATGTATGTGTGCGTGTGTGTATGTGTGTGCGGATACAAATTTTCGTCGAGGATTTCGGGAACACGGATGAAGCGATTTGAATAATTCAAAAAACATTCGATTCGTATTGATATGGAGACATGCTGATTAGTTTTTGGCAAAGGCTGGTCTAGCCGTTCCGAAGATACGGGGCAAAAAGTGCCAAAAATGGTGACTCATTTTTTAAGAGAACAAAGGGTCCGATTTTAATAATTCAAAAAACTTTTTACTTGTATTGACAAGATGAAGAACTGGTCAAATTTTCATAAAGGAAGGTCAAGCGGTTTCGAAGATCTAGTAAAAAAAGTAAAAAAAAATGCCATTTGGCGGTCAAAGATGATCATTAGACATATGCACATCAAATTATCAGATATTTATAGAAATTTTAACAATAAGTATGAATTTTGTTTACATTCCTATAAGTTTCGTACCAATGTTTATGCGTTAGATGGCGACGCGGCGAAAGCTTTGAAAAAAAGTTCAGAATTTACAAAATATTTCAAAATCAACTTTTCTTCAAAAAGTCTTTTTTTAAAAACAAAGTAAATTTTTGTCAAAAATTTATAGTTTCTCAAAAATCTAATTTTTAGAGTAAATTTTTTTCAAAAATGTTAATCTTTAAAAAAAAAAATTGGTACGGGAAGTTCCAGCAATTTGCCTTAAGGCACGATGCCATGCGCCCCAGTAGTTCTTAAATTTTGCTATCTGTCTTCTAATATAATAATTGATTAACAAAGACCAGAATTTCAATTAGCTTTAAGATTTATACATTCTCCATAGAAAACAGTTTTTGTATAGTACTCGAGCAGTCTAGACGGTTCTGCTCCTTTATTTTCATCTTAATTGACAATTATACGTATTTTGAGAAACACGTTCTGACGAATTGTCCATAATTACTTGTCGCATCAATTATTACTTCGACTAAAATTGTAATTTGAATATGAATAAATATCAAAATTTTATAGAGATATGTTTGTGGTATAAATAATTTTTTTGCTAGAGTTTGATCTGTTAGAGAAAAATTTCTTAGAACATGTGTACCGATTAAGTTTTATTTTTTAAATATTATGATAATTGATTTTTAAACATATGTTACTGTAAAATTTTGCTTTGTGGATAGCATAATTATTATAACAATAAAAAACATTTCCACGATCATAATAAAAAATATTACCACAATAGACATTACAGCAAAGATTTAATAAATAATTAATAAATTACATTTTTTATGTTCATTGCTATTAACATAAGTTGAGAACAAAGATTTTAGTTAATAAAAAAACATTTTTTATTTGTCATATCATTTATAGCTGTTAGTGGACTCAACAAATAAATAACAAGAAGTAGAAGTTACCAGTATCAATTTAATTTTAAATAAAGAATCTAAATGAGTGGGATTGAAATAAATTTATATATAAAAAATACCTAAAAAATAAAAAAAAAATATTCCCAATAAGTATACAGATTTTTAGTGGATGTAGTTTGCACATCTTCTTGGAATATAAGAGAAATATAGATGTAGAATTTTTTTTACTACACATATATATAGTCAAGTATATATTGAGTTAATAATGAAGTAAAAATATGCACAATTATTTGGAAGCAAATCGTTATAAATATAATTATGAATACTTTTGAAATTTGGAATCACGCATTGCGGTTAAGTAATTCTAATCAGAATCTATGCCTGTGGTGCATATGTACGTTCTATGCTGTTTCGTAAGTAGCTACTGATTACAGTTGACGTCCGCACTTGAATAAAATACATTTTTAGAACTTGGAATGAATGAAATGAAACGCGTTAACAAATTAATTATACAACTACAGATTTTATGTTTGAAAGACATGAGTTGGAAATCGTATTGATGATTTTTAGTAAAGGCGAAAAGTTTATCATTTATAATGAACAGTTGAACATTTTACTTAAAATAACAGAATTTTATACAAGCATCTTTATACAACTTGCCTCAAGGCAAAATGCTTCTTACAGCTAGTTAATTTTCCGTAGGGTAAGTTATAGTAATTGCAAAAAAATCGAAAAAAATGTTTCTGCATATAGTTCACGTTTTAGAGATTTTTGAACATTTTGGCATAAGTTTTAGCAAAATTGATGTATGTGTGTGCGTATGTATGTTTGGATATAATTTTTTGTCTACGATATTGTTAATACGAATCAACCGATTTGGATAATTCTAAAAAACCTTTGATTCATATTGATGGGGAGATGTGCCAACTCGCTGTTAGCTTTTGACAATTTTTTTTTGAAGTTTCTGCAATTTGCTTTAGAGCACAATGTCATGCAGTACTAGTTATTATAATTACATAGACGTTTTCTTGTTACATACATTTTGTTTATTCCTAAATCAATCTTTGAATAGTATTAGCGCTCTTACCCAGCGCCTGTTTTCTTGTCGGCAACCTAGGCCGTGTTCTGGGTTGTCGGTTCTCGGTCCAGCGGCTCCGTCGTCGTCGGGGCCTTGAAGTGATTGCGCCTATGGCAATTTGCCACCCGCAACCCCGTTACATAACAAGAATTGTCCTTGCCTTTAACAAGCGGATACAATGGAAGATGTAATGAAGTCGATAACCTAACCTAATGAATGATGTATTCGACACGACGATATTCATTGAAATTCATGTAATGATGCATAATATCGAGATCCTTGAACGGACTATTGAAATCTGTCTAATTATCTGGAATATGATTGTCCAACGCGCCGATGATAAGTAATTGGAGGGTTATTAGTTAACTATGCGATTATTTGAAGCTTTGTAGAAGGGTTTTTCTAATACAAACTATTTTGGCAAAATTAGATTATATACTCACACTATTTATTGTAATTTCTACATATTTTCAAATACAAAAAAGCATCTTGATTTTTTTGGTCAAAAATGGACTTTTATCAATAATCGGCCTTGTCTCACATTGAAGAATAAACAAGCTATTGTATTCGTCTCCGAAATTTACATAACACTCATCGGTAAATATTAAAAATGCTGACCATTACATACTGTAAATTAGCAGTTATATTGGTCAAATATTTGAATGTTTTTGATACTAAAAAATGCGTAATAAACTAATACTTATATGCATTTATTGCTGGAAAATTTATGAAAAAGTAGTAATAAAAATGTTAAAATAACATACTTCATGTATTATCTAATTACCAAAAATGAGTTTAACTTGAAAGAATCATGCTAAGTAATTATAGAAGTGGTTGTGCCTTAAAAATGTTTTATTTTCTTATACGTGATTTGGGTATTGTAATAAATATGCAGACATAGACAATTAAATTTCATCTATATAATTATAAAATCATAAAATTATGAAATAATAAAATTTTGCTTCGTACGCACTATAAATAATAAAAAAAGAAAACATTTTCATAAGTACAATAAAAAATTTTCCACAACGGATTTGTGCCAAATATTTAATAAACGTTATAATTATAATAAGTTACAACAAATACTTTAGTAAGGAAGAAACACATTTTCGACATAAGTGTCAATAAAAAAATATATTGTATAAAAAAATTGTATATAAATTTCTCATTCATTTCTTTTAGTTATTATAATTAGAATTCAGTTAAGTAATACCACTATATAAATGATTATTTTTCATTACATACTTGAAATTCAGAGTAATAATACTAAATTTAAACGTTTTTGTATGTAACAAAAATATAACATTTAATCATTCTTTCATCGTTTTTTATGTCCACTTATCAGAATTTTTGCTTTGAATATAAAATTCTCAGGAACCCATCTCATAGTGCTTCTGATAATTACAAGTTTTTATAATATTTTTTATTAAATTGAATAGTAATTAAAAGTCATGATTTTGAACAAAGTATAAATCTAGTATTTTTCAGAACTGCATGTGTTACTTATTTATTCATTTTGTTATGCATTTTGAGACGCAAGAAAATGATTGAGCACTAGGAATAATAATTAGTGAATGATGATTCTGTTTCTATGTGTCATACAATTCAATTGAATATGGAATATATAATTATTGTTGCATAATGAAAAACAGATTCATTAGCAAAAGAGTCTTGTAACAATATTATTGACTTTTGATAAATGATTTTCATAGTTTTCTGATCCATTAGTTCAAATCATGTATAACAAAATTGAATCATTTTGACTTAATTAGCTATAAAAAAATATTACAGATATTCTTATATTAATAATTAA